GGGGGGGTATCACGAATGAGAGAATAAGACGCAGAGAAAAGAGGAAGAAGAGGTAGGAGGGAAGTCTTGCTGGATCCCCTTCCACCACTCGCGGCTCGGCTACTACTTCCTAGAGGTGAACGCACTCACATTGGCCCAGTGACTCCAGCGGCGCGCTGGCCTAGCTGTGCCGTGCCAAGGCGAGAGGGTTTGCTCGAAGTGCCCCCCCCCCCTCCCGCGGGCCCTCCCGCGGGCCGCTGTCTCCGCAGTGCGACAGGACAACGGCGCTCGGCGCCTCTATCTCCATGATAAGAATCACGTCCCGGCTCGACTCGGCCTGCAGCCGGTAGCGCCCCCGACAGAGCCGCGCGGCGCGCGCAGCACCCACCGGGACTTTAGTAAGTTTCCTCAAAAGCGTAAGACCATTTTCATTCATTTTATATTTCTGGTTCACTATTTTTACCCCTCAGTTGTACTAACTGCACTCTTGTCGCTTATTTAATCCTTTACCTTTATTTCTGTCCCTTTGTCTTTCATTTTTAATGATTATGGTTATTGTCTTCCCCCGACAGCCGCCACGGGGGGGGGGCTATGGCTATGCGCGGCCGCTCATCGCAGTGTAGGTACCTGTCCGCTCACCGCTGCTGGCAAGTCTAGGCGCGCTCACCGCGGCTGGTCTATAGAGAGGGGCGCTCACCGCGGCGCGGCGCGGCAGGTCTATGCCCGCTCACCGCACTCGGTCACGGAGGGGTCCTTGATCCCTGGAGAGCTAGCTGGGCGCGCTGGGCGGGCACCCCGGCCAGGCCAGGACGCGCCGCGAGACCGCGAGCCGCGCGCGCCCGCGCCGCCGCCACAGGTGGAGAGCCGCGAGTGTACAGCCACGCACCAGCCTTCTTCATTCATGGATTCATGGGCCAGCTCATCCTCCTCCCAGGTTCAACGGCCCCCTGCAGCCGTATATACAGCATCCCTCTAGCATCTCTAGCAGCAGCGATCCCGTCCGTCTGTAACATGTAGCCAACATAACTGAAGTTTGATTGACCTTCCTCTCCGCTGCCTTTGCCATTTTTCTTTGTGCTCGCCTCGAGCTCTCTCGTTTTTCTTTCCATCGGGAGCCTCGAGGCGCCTCTGCTGCTGGCTGCTGCTGGTGCGGCGGCTCCGGTCTAATGGAGTAGAAGTCCTAAAACCTTTCCGGGAGCGCCCGGCCCAGCCCGGCCCGGCCCGCGGCAGCAGCGCCAGGCCACGGCCAGGCCGGCGCCCCGGCGGCCCCGGCCAACGCAACAGGGCCAACGCACTCGGCTATTCCTCCGCCGCATGACGTGGTGGGCCGAGTCCGGCTCCGGCCCGGCACGGCCATGGGATTCCGGGTAGTCGTCGCGCCCGAATTCCAGAGCAACCTTGCGCAATAACTTGCGCATTTCACCTTAACATTTGCTTCAAATCCACACAGGGCGGGCGTGCTGTAAGCCGTACTTGTTTGCTGGTGATGCCGTACCGAGTGTAAAGGCTAATACTCCCCAGTGTTGCGGGTTTGCATACCCAAGGGGCTACGGCGCCTTACGGGCAGGTCGGGTAGGCAAACCCGCAACACAGTGGTGTATGCCTGTACAGACGGTAGCGGTTGCAGACGTGCAGACGGGTTGCATACTCGGCTATAGGGCTATAGGGGGTCGAGATGAGGGCCGGTAGGCAGGCCCACCCGCACCTGCATGCGGCATAGTATAGCCAGAAAAAAGTATGGTTTAGAACTCCCACCCTGTATACGACTCACATGAGTTCCCCCGAATCAAATTTTTGGGCAGCAATACTCAAAGACTTCATTCTTTGCACGAGCTCGTTCTGTGCGTATCAGGTGAGTACTATACTATAGGCGACTATATTTTTATTTTTTCCCCTTCAAAAAGCCCTTTGATTGTCGAGAGCTGCTGTTCAGGTTGTTCAGTGGTGTCCCTGCCTGCCTCCCCGGACCTGGCCGCGCCGTGGCACGGCACCCCAGCACGGGCCGGCTCCGCTGCTCCTCTCGGGGGGTCGTTGACCGACCTCCTCGGCTAAGGCCCGCCCCGCACAACCTGAGCCCGGCCCCCAGCCCCGGCCCCGGCCCCGGGCCCAGGCCGAGCCCGGCCGCCGCCGCCGCGGGGAATGCCAACGGACGCGCCTCAAGAGTTCGGAGCAGCGGGACATGCCCGAAAAGTAAGGGGGAGAGGGGCTTGCGCGGGCGGTTGGGGGTGACTCGCCGACAGGAGGTAACTTCACCTCCAAGTGTGGCGCCTCCTGCTCGTCAAAGTTTTTTGTTTTCTTTTGAGAAGTACGCGTTTTCTGAATTTTGCGATGGGTCGCGGAAAATACCGCGCAAGTGGCGACTCGGCGCCGTACGGTATTTGAACCCAGCGCTGCGCTGCCGAGTCCGTGACGCGGACGCGGGGTATAGCGGCGGTGGGCCTGGGCGGGACTCACCGCACGCCTCCGTGGGGGCCCCGGGCCCCGGCCAGGCACCGACGCGCCAGCCGCCGCGGGCTGGGGGCGCCATCTCCCGGCCGTGGAAAGAGTTGAGGACGTCGGCGGTCGGTTCGGGCGCGCGTCGCAAGGGGGCAGCACCAGTCGCGCGCGCGACCGTCTCCCTGCGGTACCTTGCGGTACCCGCGTGAGTGGTGCCTGCGCCTGCGGTGCCCTGCCCTGACGTGAGGCCCCTGCGGCCCTCCTGGAGCTGCCGGATGGGTTGCCTGCCCAGCGGCGCCACCAGGACCGAGCGCCCGCACCCAGCGCACGCACACCGTGCCGAAGACGTCGTCTACCGCGCAAAAGGCCAAACAACTGACGACACGCCTTCCTGCGTTTGTGTGTCCTTCATTTTCACGCGGTTATTTTTTTCGCGGGACCCCACCTCCTCTCCCTCCCTCGAAATGCAAGGCTAAGCGGAACTTGTTTCGTCGCAAACTGTATACCATATCCGCGCCCGTCTACTACTCTGCGGTGCTCTGTGTTCTTGGGGTCCTCGTCTCCTCACACCACACAATGCCACACGCCGGGCAAACAATTTCAAGGGTCAGCGCACACGCCGCGCCCCGCCACGCACCGGCCCACCACGACGGGTCCCCATACGCTGTAGCCGCCGGAGCCGGCGAGGCCCCGCGACCAGGGCGCGAGGAGTGGAGCGTGGCGCGCGCTCACCTCGGGGATGTGGACATGGGCATGGGCATCGCACGGAGGTCGATGCAGCCGTCCAGCGAACGAACGCAGGGTGAAAACACGGAAACTTCAGGTGTGGTTGTGTGTGTACCGTTGGAAAAGGGGGAAGGTGGCGCGTGTTGTACTAGAAATAACATTTTATTCGTTTTCATACAAAAGATGTTTTGGCAAAGTGGAGTACAAAGTAGAGTATATGAGACATTTCAGGGAGTTGTTCGTGATCGAATCACAGAGACACATAATACAAAAAGGTACAGTACATACATTGACATGGTTGACAGCCATGCGTTTTCTCAGACACATAACACATGAGGAGGATAGCTTTCATACTTAGAGATGAGTTTTGTTTTCGAGAGCACCTTCCTCGCGTTTAAATTTACATGTAAAAGTCTATTTCGGAGAGCGCTTGGCCGCTCGGGGCGCTAAGGCTCGACCCCGAGCGTGGGCCTCTCCTACAAGTGCGTGACGCACGAGCTCTCCTCGACGGCGCCCTCGGGCTCTTCGCGGCACTCGAGGAAGAAGATGTCGTTGGCCTTCCCGGGCGCGTCCTCGCCCTTGGCCGGCGCACCGCACCCGACCTCCTCGGCGGCCTCGCCCTTGCCGCCCTTCTTCGAGATCCTCGCCCGGCCCATGTACAGGATGTGGTTCTCGAAGAAGGTCTCGATCTGCTCGCCGGTGCGGCTCTGCGTCTCGGGCACCACCAGCCACACGAAGAGGACCGTGGCCGCGCACACGGTCGCGTACAGCCACTGCACGCCGTCGGATCCTGCGGCAGAGGGAACACAAAAGCGCGAGGTGAGACAACGTCTTTGGGGGCTTCCCGTCATTGGTCAGGGGTCGTCGCAGCAACTGCAGCGGTTGACCTCACGACGCGAGGACTTGTGTGTGTGGACGGGCGATCCATCACGGATCCTCCGTCTCAGTTCCAGGAGCCCGGCGTGCGATGAGATGCTGTGATTGTGCCCCCCCTCCCCCCTCCCTTTCCTCCAGCTCCAAGCTACTCCCGACAGTTCAATACGGCGGCGGCTATTCTTCCACCTTTTATCATCGCGCATCGTGCCGGACGCTCCGCCGCCGCCGACTCCACGGGGCGTAGGCGTATGGCAAAGGCCACGCTGCCCCCTCTTGGTGGCGGCCAGAGAGCGCACTACGTAGTGCCCCCCACCCCTTTCTCCTCGGGGACGAGGTGCGTTTTT